TAATAGTGCCGTATTATAATAAGGACCCAAAAAGGGACCATAATTTTGACAACCACCCATATGGGTAACTGTCAACCTTAGTTGGGGTGGGAGGCGACGGGAGCTTAGGTCGCAGCCGCTGAAGAACGAGTTGCAGTACACCATCATGGCCTGCCTGTGCTGCTGTTTCTTAGGGGTTAGTGTTTAGGGTTTAGGGTTTAGGGTTCAGGGTTAGCGTTTAGGGTTTAAGGTTCAGGTTTAGGGTTTGGGGTTTAGGGTTTAGGGTTAAGGGTTTAGGGTTAAGGGTTTAGGATTTAGAGTCCAGGCCTCAGTGTTTGGCAGTAGAGCTTTGGGTCTAGGTTTTGGTGTTTTGGTGCTGGGGTTTCAAAGTGTCGGGTCACGTTGAGCTTCGGGTTCCTGTGCTTTTGGAATCAGGGTTTCCATGTTGTGCAATCAGAGTTCCGCAATTTCAGATCACTGGTGCAGGTGCAGTGGCTGCGCGGCCACCCCTTCTTCTCCAAGATCTGTGAGCCTTCTCGGACGCCAGAACATTTTTTCTGGTTTAGGTCAACTCAAGTTTATAAGGGTTTGGTAAGAGTCTTTGGAGCAACAGGTACCCACATGCCAAACTTCATGCACAAGCTCTGCAGCACGGCCATCAAGGAGTCCCTTGGCGAGTGCATGGTGCAGAGGGGCAACTGGTTGTGACTTTCATGTGCTGGACACTGCTCATTCCACGTATGTAGTTCGGCGCACGTGACAAAGGGTCTTTCGGTCAAACAGCCTTAAAGTCTAATCTCCAAGCCCCAAGCCCTGAGAGTTGTCCCGGCGGTTTCAGATCCGGTAGCTGCTTTCATGGTTGTGTTGGCACTGTGAGGTTGTCTGTCTGCACAACGTGGGATTTGGGAACCTAAGATATGGGCCCCGAATTAAAGTAGATAGTGGTACTCATGTTGTAAGGGCCCCAACAGAGGACCCCCAAACCGAAGCAAGCTCCCCCCGACATCAAGGAAAGTTCTGGGCAGCGGAGACATCGTCTTTGAGGCTGGAGAGGAGTGCAGTCAGGTGTACTTCCTCAGCGCCGGCTTGATCCTCGAGCATCTTGGGCCAAACTGGCAGTTGTGGATTTCAAGCTTTTTGTGAGGTCTCACAGCGTTTCAGAGTTTTTTTGGGGAATCGGGCTATTTGGGGCTGGAGGATTGGGTCCGCGAAGGACGAAAGAGTACTTGTTCGTCATCTTGCCCTGGGTCTGGCACTTTGCTGTACGGCTCTAAACGCTTACGTCTGCTAAGCTTGGGCTTGTGTTGTGGTTTGGGTATTCGCACGGTCTTGGGCTCGAGGGCATGCTGGGAAAGATGTTGCCAGCAAGTAGGCTTCTGCGGTTCAAACTACAGACGGCGCTTGCACCTCGCGCCCTGAAGCCAGTCACAGAAGATGGGCCTCTTACCCTCCGAAACCACTAGACTTTTAGGGGTTTAACTACGGTTTAGGGTTTAGGGCTTAGGGGTTCTATCCTAAGGCCTCAGCCAGCTCTTCAGACCATAAAGCACCAGAAAGTCGTAGTCACACTCTTCAAGCGCTTCTTTTTTCAAGTCCCGTCGAACCTCTTTTAAGCCCTGTTACAGTAACGCTCTACTGAAGGTACACGCACATTCGGGAGACAGCGGAGACATCCAACAGGCTGCACTCGAAGCAATGGTGTGGGGCTCGGAGAGCAACAGACCTTGAAATCAAGCACGAGGGTTCTATATGGGTTGTTTTCACTTCGCACATAAGCGTCCTGTCAGTAAGTATCCCACTTTTCCGGGTCTATTGGGGTCCCTCGAAACTCCCGAATAGCTTTCGCCATTCTAAGTATGTACTTGAGGATCTATCCGAATCTATCCCCTAGTTACCTAGTTCGGGACGATTGGGCTCCCCGAAGAAAACTTTGTCTCGTCGCGGTGCCGGCTAAGAGTCTGACGGCAGTAGGGTTTAGGGTTTAGGGTTTAGGGTTTAGGGGTTTAGGGTTTAGGGTTTAGGGTTTAGTACTTCTTATTGGTACACCTCCATGCCGGAACCACCAAGAGCGTTGGCCCCCAGTCCTCAGTGACCCTAGCTTTGTGTGGTGCCAGTGTGATGCCCAAAACATAATCGGGGCCTTGATAATTAGAATAGGGTTTGGGGGGATATTAGAGTATCACAAATAGGAAGGAACTCCACCAAAACCCTATTCTAATCATTAAGGCGCCTACATGAAGAAGGAAGTCTGGGTGGGTTTCGGGGGTAGCGCTGGGGGCTTAGGGGCTTCCGGGTTCCCTCCTTGAACCCTTGAACCCTCAACCCCCTCGGCTGAATCCTGAGATCCAGAGAGGCTTTCCCCAAAACCCTAAACAGCAAACCCTCACTAAACCCTAAACCCAAAACCCTAAAAGCAAACCCTCACTAAACCCTAAACCCTAAACCCTAAACCCTAAACCCGAAACCTTGGTAGATGCTACGTGCGGACACCAAAAAGGCCCTCAACAGACAACATAGACCGAAAGCCCCGAAACGGAGAACACCGAGATTCCTAAACCCTAAACCCTAAACCCTAAACCCTAAACCCTAAACCCTGTACCCCGAGATTCTGCGAGGATTTCCGAGCCCGCCCTGTGGACCCCTTGGAAACATCTCGGCGTCTGCGAAGCCGAAAAGCCGGGCCTTCCGACTTCAAGAGAGGCAGTTTCGGTTTTTTTTTTGGTCTGGGGCTGGTGGGGTCTTCGGGTTTAGGGCTCAATAGAAAAAGGTGAAGGTTTCAGGCTTCAATATAAAAAAGTTAAGGTTTCAGAGGTTGCTTCGGGTTTAGGAGTTTCGTAGAACGTTTTGGGACTTAGAGTGCGATGGGGTTTGGCTAGGGTACCAGTCACCTACAGCCGGAAGAAAGGCGTAGAGTTGGCCAGGGTTCGAAACAGTTGAGTAAGATCGGTTGAGGGTTTTGCGTTTAGGCTTCTTTGTCAAAATCAAAACCCCAAAACCAAGATCTCAAAACCAAATCCCACGTCCAAGTCCTACATGCACATCCCGATGGTGTTTTGGACTTGGTGTTGAGGTTGTTGGGAGGGGACCCGAGGAGATTTCACAACTCTCGCTTCTGAGTTTGGCCAACATGTACTTTACTTTTGCTCTTCGCATTTATGATAGGTGGCTTTGTATAAGTATAAGTACTCGTAGTATTTTCGGTGTTAGTATTTGTAGTATTACTATGAGTTATGAGTGTTAAAATTAGTAGTATTGTCATACCTGACGTAAGGAGCCCTGGTTGGGCCCGCCAGGTTGTGATGCGAGGGATCACGGCATCTGTTCAACGCAGTAGCATGGTCATCAGCCCAATCAGGTTGCACCGTTCCAGGTGGGGCTGTGTATCCATACATCTCGGGCCCTCTATAATAGGGTGGAGGCCTGGAGGAGAACTCTGATCCCAAATCTGAAAATCTCAACCACCTGCCGCAATCCCAAGCCCGGAACAGCAAAATTCATGTCGACACCGCCATGAACCCTAATCGCTGTATGGGGTTTGGATCGTCATCTGACGCGTTTCCGTTTGGGTCCTAAGGCGCCAAGAGGCCCGAAACCGAGCATCATACCAATTTCCTCACATCATGCCAATTTCCTCACAGTCCTTACCTAACCATACTATTCTAAATACTAAGGCCTCTACCTTGACCTTTACATCAAACGCACAGCTTAGTATCCGACAAAACCTTGTTATTTCCATCAAGTTCTAAAGCCTGACACCCCCGCGGCCCAGATTCCGAAGCCCAAAAGCCCAAACCCGTCATGAAGAGCAAGACAGCTGAGGAGAAATTATTTCGGTGGACACGGCGACCTTTTGCAAGGACCTGCTTAGTTGAGATCCCTCAAGCCCTGTCGGGTCAGGCTGTAGGGTTTGGGGCTTAAGGGCTCAGGGTTGGGCTTGTGGGGTTTGGAGTTGAGGGCTTGGTGTCTATGGTCTGCGGGCAGGAGATGTCGGCACACCCGGCACCGAAGTCGCCGCTTGAAACGCATTGTTTGCAAGGTCCGGGGTGCTACATGGCCTTCTAATCCGAGCATCTGTCTAACAGGGTTGAGGGGTGATCCATCTTTGACCTTAAACCCTAAATCCTAAACCCTAAATCCTAAACCCTAAACCCCAAACCCTAAATCCTAAACCCTAAACCCTAAACCCTAAACCCTAAACCCTCCCGAGTTCATGAGCCAGCGACCGAAATTCGGGAGCCTTGAAGCCTGATGCACCCGAGGCCACAAGCCCAGCTACAGCCCTGAAGGGTTTAGGGTTTAGGGTTTAGGGTTGGTTTAGGGTTTAGGGTTTAGGGTTTAGGGTTGGTTTAGGGTTTAGGGTTTAGGGTTTAGGGTCCAAATTGCTAAGCCCTACCTGGACCCAAGCGAACCTACCGTTTTAGGGCTCCTTACTGTAAATTTCTTGATATAAGTCCTGAAAAAGGGTAGGCGATTTGGGGTTAAGGTAAGCCCTAAACGCAATTAGTAGGCAAAGCCTTGCGCACAAAGCCTTCCAATATAGGCGGTGTGAAGAATTACTACTGACGTTCCTCAGCCCCACCTTGACTGTCTGGTGCTTCGTAGGGAATGGGGGAATGGGTTATACGGACTACTCTAAGGGACCTTAAGGGAGCATCCTAGGGATCCATTCCCCCATTCCCTACTAAGCACCAGACAGTTGATAGACATATACTTTAGCATACCCCAAAACCCTTACTCGCCCCTTTTAACAGACCCCTCGCGAGACTGCCCAGGTTGTGTGCGGCATATGCGAGACTATTCGTCCGAAGCCTGGGTCTGGGGTTTATAGGGTTTCTGAAGCCCTGTGGGTTGCTATTGAGGTTTGAAAGAGGTTTATGTCGATTTGAAGTTGAGGGTTTGTAGCCTCCTGATACGGAGTCTCTTTTTTGTTCTCTCTCTCCCTCTCTCTACATATATGTATGTACACACGCACACATGCATGCATGCATGCATCCAT